GCTAAGAAAGTTGCTATGGCAAGGAGACCATTGCAGTGGCTGGCAAGTTTATCAGTCCTTGAGGACATGGCCATGGCAGAATTCCACTCCAAAGACAGTCTAGATCCACACAATAATCTGAATTTTGCTGATGCTTGCCAGTGGCAAGTGCTAGATGTGTGAAAGCCCTGAAACAATAGTTCTATTGATACAACCATGCGAGAAAACCCATTTTGGTGGCTTATGATGGATAAATGATATGAGGATGTTGTATGTGTCCTTGCAGCCCAGCTCATCCTTGGCATCCCCAAGCCTTCCTCCACAAGGGACCTTCTGAGCTGCAACGTCCCCCTGCAGCTCTGGTCCTGGGCTGCTTCTGCAGGAAGTCTCCCTTCTCTTTCAAGTTTGTTGCGAAGCAGCTTATCTCGAGCTATTTTCTGTTTGCTTGCCTGCTTTCCTTCCCACCACCACTGCATGCTCGCTCACCGCCAGCCTCTTCCTCCTCGAGGAGTTTCTCCTCCAGTTCGGCGGGAGACCTTTATCCTGCCACTTAGGACTTCCTCAGCATGGAAAATCAGAGATCCTGCCGCAGCAGTATCGCCAAACGCACAGCGATAAAGCCTGGACTTTGGTGTCTCCTTCACCAGACAGATGTCCAGGGCTTCTCAGAGCAGGCGTAGGGCCAGCACACCAAGCTGCCTTCCCTATGCCGGCATGGAGGTGGTTCCCTGGTACAACATTATTCTGGCAGAGAGAATCTGTTTTATAACCTAGGATTTAAAGCATGGTGACGTTATCTCTTGATCTTTTAAATAAATAAATCTCTATGCTTAGGAACACGTGGGCTTCCTTCAGGAGCCGTAGCCACCTGGCCTGGTCTGGCTGTACGGCTGGTTTTGGTGGCTCTAGAGGCATAGTCAGACACCGAGGAGCCCTTGCTCAGTGGTGGCAAAACTCCTCTTGCCAGCCACAGGGGCACTGGGGGTCCCGGGGAATCGCAGCCCTGCCCAGCTCATGGCAGCAGTGAGCAAGCAGGGCAGGGCCCAGCCCAGCAAGGAAGTGCAGTCATGTCTGGCCTTGCCTCGCCTGTGCCCTGCCCATGCCAGCCAGAGGATGAGACAGACAGACAGACAAACGGGTGGAGATGGGGGCAGAGGCAGTGCCATCCCTGCTGCCTTCCCCTCTCTGCCTCCACACTGGTGGCTGCTGGACTTTGCTGGGGACCACGGTGGTTTTTTTTTTCCTGATGTTTCTCTGATGGGGGCATGCTGACGATACAGTCCAGCGGCAACCGGAAAGACTAACCGGAATGTGGTCCAAGATGTAACGGGGTTGCAGATAGAGAGTGCAGGACACCACCAGCTCAGTGCTTGACAGCTGTACGTCCTCTTCTTCATCAGATCTGAGGGGCAATGCTAGAGCTGCCTTCTCCGAGCAGTCCCTCCCAGCTCTTATTAACTCTTGACAATACCTTGTCCTCCTTAGAAGTGAGAGAACCTGGCTCAGCAGCCCCACAAGGTCAGGTCCTCTGAACTTCAGCCTCCCCAGTGCAGCCCATGAGGCCCCCAGACTCAATGAAGCCCTCAACCTCCAAGCCTCCCTTCTGAAGCAGCTCTCACACTCTGTCCAACTCCTTCCCGTTGCCAGCCTCCTGCTTCTCCAGAGAGCACATAAGAAATGATAGAGCTTGAACTTGATCAGCAAGAAAAGCTACTGGAAATTAGAGGAGAAAAAAAAGCCACCAGAGCAGTCACTCCTCAGCAAGCTCCCTCCTCTTCCACCTTGAGGTCAAGCTCAGCCCATGCTGAGAAGAGAACACAAGGAGGGTGTTTCTCCCTGGACTTCAAAACATGAACAGAACACTCCAGCGAGCTGGAAGCAGCGGGTCTCCTGCTCCCTCAAAAAACTCTTGTTTCAGACCAGTGTTACACACATGTCCCCAAGACTCAGCCTAAATCTACAGAGGCCTACAGCTTCACCTTAAACTTGGGATTTTGCCCAGGCTTCACAGGACAAGCGCTAGCACTGCGCAACCCGAAGGTAAAATAAAGGGCACAGACTCACTTCCTAAACTGAGTATTTTAGCCCCAAAACAGTGAGAGGCTCCATGCCAAGCTACAGCCCGTGCAAGACCAGCATCATCCCACCACCCAATTCTCTGCTCCCCAGTTGCTACCTACAGCCCAGCCGAAATAACACACAGATTTTACCCACTGGGATTAGCTCAACAGCAATGTTGGCCAAGAAAAGAGGGTATTTTAGAAAACAAATGCATTAGCAGCAATCATAACTAAAGAACAAAAAGCTGAAGCTAGGTAAACTGAAATAAAAGGAAAAAAATGAACTTACCAATAGCGAAGGGATTAGGTCTGATGCAAGTTAATGAGATGTGCATTCTCCTCTGGCGAGAAATATGAAAGCAATGCTCTCTGCAGCTGTTAGGCATGATTGCAGAACTGCCCGGTCCGAGATCACAGTAATCTGTCCTGACGCTAAAAACAATTCAGAAATAAAACTTCTCCCAGGCTCTGGCAGACAGGACCTACGGAACAACACAGAGTACTCAGATTTATGGCAGTTCCTGGTAGAGGAATTTCAGCTTCTTTATTTAGGGTTTCTGTTTTCCTTCCCAGGATCCCTTCCTTTTCCATGTGTTCAGCTGAAAGCAGAAAGGATTTTACCCTTACAACACAAACAAACACCCTCCAATCTCCCGAGGCTTCCCAGGAGGGCGATGCAGCTCCAACAGCACTAACCACCAACATAACCTTACTTCTTTTAAGGCATAGAACACCAGCAGCATAAAATTCACTGTAGCTGTGGCAATGGAGCAGTGGACACAGGGAGAAACCACAACTACAGCCACCTCCAGCCCACCACATGAATTTCCGAATTTCCCCTTTCTCCTACCCCAATCCAGATTAAGCAAGAGATTACAACTGAGATGCACCCCCAACAACAGCCCCCACCCCCCAAAAAAAGCAATACTCAAAAGAATGCCAAGGTATAAGGGGTTACAAATATTCAGACTTTATTATAAATAAGAAATACTGTTTTATACATAAAAACTGCAAGTGTTGCATTTTGTTCACCGCCCCAGACAGCAAGACCACAGATTAAGGCAAAAAAGCTGGGGTGAAGGCACGTACTGAGGGGGCCGCAGTCAGGGATAAGGTGATGGAGGGACTGACACCCAGCACTCCACCAGCAGCTGTCACGTCATCACATTACGTAAATAACTGGACTTATACAATGAATAATGGCTGTAATGCAGTAGTGATTAAGAGATTGCTTATAAAGATTTTTTTTTATTTAAAAAATAAAATTCTGTTAAAAACAGCTTAAGGGAAAAAAAAAAAAAAAAAGAAGAAAGCAGGAAATCTTAGGCCTGAGGTCAGCCAGGGCATGTGCGCATCTTCGCATCTGCTCTTCTCACAGCCTTGGCAGAGGTGACGCGGTCACAGCCAGCCATCTGACAGGAGCGGCCGGCCAAAGCACTGACCCCAGCGTCCCCCGCGTGTGGGCGAGCACAGGCGAGCTCTCCTCCAGGTACTGCGTGTGTTTGCAGGCAGGGGTAAATCCCAAACCAGTAAATTGTAAAAATCTCCAAGAGATGGGGTACAAGAGAAATGCGGGGTTTGCTGGGAACGCCCAGCACTGTTCCTGAGGGTGCACCAAGCCTCCTGCCTTGCACAGTGGTATTAAGATGTCCCCAGATCCAGCTCTCCCACCACCTCAATGCTGGGTCCGGTCTCCCAACAGCGCTACAGCTCCTCCCAGCCCAGCTGCAAAGCCACAGCCCCTGCTCTCCTCCTGGCACAACAGCCCCAGGGACAAGAGACGCAGAACGGGGTGCTGCGAGCACCTCAGGGCTGGCTTTGGGGGGAGGGTTGGAAAGCACCCACCCAATGGGCAAAGTGGTTATTGCTGATGCCCATATGGGTGCTGAGGATAGAGGAAAGGGAAGAAAGGCGAAAACACCTGGGAGAAACACCAAGCTCTAAGGGAGTAACAGGGAGAGGAGTGATACACAAGTGCACACGCCCCGATGGCTATAGGGGAAAACACGTAGAGGAGGTCAGGCTGTGCCACTCTGGAAAGATGGCTGAGTATATTTACACACACATACGCACACACGAGAGACTTCCTCACACTATAATCATGATAAAAAAAAACGGAAAAAAAATCACATTCACACAAAAAATATAAATTTGAAATAATTAATAGCACCAGTGTGTGTCAGATAATAATTTCTTCCCCGCTACGCAAACGTACGAAGTTGCATAGTGTTTAAGGATAGATATATACTGGATCTGAAGGAGGGGCGGGGGGGTGCCAGGCTGGAGGCAGGGAGGAAGCCACAGAGGATGCTCTCATCTCAAGAGGCGGTAGTGGTGTGAAAGGCAGAAATGCCACCTGAGCCTGACCTGAAGTCCCTGTGCTGCGGTGGCTTTACGGTGACCAGGAGATCAGTAGGCAAAAAGAAAGGAGGGCAGCCATAAACTCCAGCTCTTTCTGCCAAGTTAGAAACAGGCAAAGGGCGAGAGCAATGCCAGGAGATATAAAAATGCCACTGGGGAGAGACCTTTTCATTTCCATCTGCAGATCCTCTTCCTTACCCACCCAAAGACATTCAGCCCAAAGGGCAGTGCAGCTGGCAGAGCTCCCTGGCTGGCAGCTCTCCTCTTCAGCACAACTTCTGCTGCGTGAGCAAACTAACCTGTCACTCAGGCACTCGTCGCCGAAAAAGTCCTCTGGCAATTTGATAGCAATGCCTACAGAGGGGAACACAGCTCACAGCTTCCACACTCCCCAGCCTGGAGCTGCTTACATGCCGGACCCAAAACCTCTCCACAGGACCAGGGCTGGAAAGAGCTACTACTCCTCCACCAGTACAAGGCCTCCTACTCCACCAGTATCCCATCTTCCCAAAGAGCCCCTCTCAGAGGCTGCGTTTTTCTCAGAGCGATGCATCATCAACAAAAAGCATTTCAGAAAGAGGCTTTGGCTATTTCGTCAAAGGCTACCAAGGCTGTCGGATTGGCCACTAGTTAATGATTAAAAGAAAATAAAATTAAAATTCACAGGGTCAGAAGTTGGGAAGAGGGATCTGAATGAGTGCAGCTATACTGGCCATTACAGTAATACTTTGGTAGCCATCCCCTTCCTTCATAGGGACAGAGAGCTCTGGGACCAAGGATTTTAACAGTCAAGGGGAGAAGAGAGGAGAGAGAGTAGGGTTAGTTTTGCCTTACTGTATACAGCTCACATGGTTATTTCTGAACCACAGTACAGAGTCCAGAGCATCTCTCATCCTTGCACTGATCAAAGGGAAACTGCGTCTGAGAGAGGGGCAAAGGTGGAGTGCTCAGGAAGACAATTTATATAAAAAACCCCTCTGATGCCCAAAGACGGATATTTAATTTGCTTTCTTTAAAAAAAACAAAAAACAAAAAAACTTTCAACTTATCCTGATTTGAAAAGAAAACAGTGGCTGCGAGCAGCAAAGAGTTGGGGATCTGAAGAAGGTAATGTGTGTTAAGGCACTCCATAGCCAAACCACCGCTCCACCGCTCACCAGGGGAATACCCCCCACCCCAGCACACCCTTAGGGTTTCTCAATGGACGGGGTGTTAAAACAGCCAGACGGCAAGGTCTTCTTGATGTCTTCCAGGTTGCTAATGTCCTTCAGGATTTCTTCAATGTCCCTGTTGTAGGCCTGTATCGCATCATCTTGCTTCCTGGCTTCTCTCTCAAGGAAAGACACTTTCTGGTCCAGGTCGCTATCTTTCATCTGGTCTTTGGCACTGTTCAGGGTGCTCTCGATCTCATTCAGTTTGTTCAAGTCCACCGTCTCCAGTTGCCCTGAAAAGCCAGAAGCAAACAGTGAAGTCCATTAAAAAGCCCTTTGACGTGCTGGTTTTGGGTGCTGGATGGAGATCTCTATTGGGTCACTTCTGCATTAGAAACAGCATTTAAAACAGAACAAACCAAACGGGTTACACTTTCACTGCCTCAACAGCGGTCCTCAGCTCACAGAACAGCGGTACCAAACATTACACAAGAAGGTTTGAGACCACTCCAGGGGGAAAAGAACCAAACAAAACCCTTGCTGAAAACATGCAAACCCCGTTTCTCGAAATGAATGGACCCATTTGACTCATGGCATAGGACCAGCAGGGAAGCCAGCACACCATGCCAGCTGCTAGCAGCGACACGTCAGACAGCAGGAAAACATTCAAAGGCAAAAGGCATGTTAAAGACAGCCTTACCCAACTGATCCAGCAGGTCATTAATGACGGCAAGCAAGCTGTTCACAGAGTTCTTAGCTTTTCTTGCGTTGTCTTCTGCCTCCTGCGCAGCCTGCGAGGCCTGCACGGTATAAAAAAAAAGTGTGAGCACAAAAAGGCTGTAGGGATTACGAAAGTGTTGCCTCTCCTTTTCACAGGTCTGCCCAAGCAGTTAGTCACACATATCCCTGACTCCTCTCTCCAGGATTAACACCCCTGCACCAAGATCTTTATCACGGCACTGGTGAAGACTGACAACCTTCAAATAACCAGTTTTCTGATTATTTCAAGATAGGGATCCCTGGTAACTGAGCCGGATTTTGCAGGAAAAGTCAATAGGGCTACAGTCAGGTTTCAGTTAAAATAAAAACGTTGCTTTAAGAAAACTGGCTTTCAAATTCCAGCAGGAAACCTATGCTAATGCCATCAGAGGAGCTCTATTGCCCATCTCATGGCTTGAATGCCACTCAAAACTTGGAAGAGACTGAATATTGGCTGGACCTAGTGCTGCCTTTGCAAGAGAAAAGCTTGCATCGCCAGGACAGCAGGGAGACGGCACCTTCTCACCACTGCTGCCACCTGCCAGTATTATTTACCATGCCTGCCATCATCATATCCTGCTCAGCATCATCCTGCTTCCGCTTCAGCTCTTTTTCTGCATCTTGTAGTTGCTTCATCATGTCATCCACTTCTCTGGCCAGCCCTGTCACATCAGCAAAAGTCTTGTCAGCTTCAGCTTTGGTAGCAGCAGCACTCTACAGCCAACAAGGGGAAGAGCATGGAAAAAAGTGGTGAAGGTGTAGAACTTCCCTCAACCCTTTTCATCAAAATGCACCAACTTCCTATCATGCCACATTCTGAATTCCCTGGTGGGGAACACAGCAGAGAGCACATAGGGCTCACCAGGAAATACCGGAACAGAGGAGGTTAGAGAGATACAGACCAACATCTCAGCACAGGTGGCTTCAGAATTGCAAAGGACTCACCTTCTGAACAGAACCAGCAATTTTCTCAGCGTCATCTGCTTTAGTCTTGGCTTCGCGGGCATCAGCAGCGGCATTGCCAAGTGCCAGCTCTGCCTGGCGCGTCTTATTGTTGGCTTCAGCAATGGTCCGGGTAATGGCAGGAATCTTTTTCAGTGCCTCCTCCGCTGCTGTCTTGTTATCATTCACCCGCTTATCAAAATCTACGATAGGGTAAAACAGATTCTTAGCACTTACTCCAGAGCCTTGGGACGCTTCTTTGACCAAGCTACCCAGGCTCTGCCACCTGGACATTAGAGGGATAAGGAGCAAACACGTGTGGGGGTGTGTATGCTTGCAGCCCTCCTATTACACATCTTCTGATGCTAAATAAGGAACTTAAACAAAAAGGAGATTTCTAGTTACCGAAAACATTTCTTTTAAAAAAAATACTATATATATATTTTTTTTTAAGAAAAAAAAAAGCCAAGAGAACCCACCCAACACTCAGGTACTGGACCATTTGGCATGGTCCAATGGCATGGACCATTTAACCAAGATACCCTACTGCCAAGTGACTTGTCACATAGGATCTGAAGGATTCATGGTCAGCGCTTTCTCTTTACCTTTCAGGTTGCTGAGAATGGTATTAGCCTCCTGTAGTGTGCCATTGCCCTTCCGAGCAGCTTCTTCAGCCAGGGCTTTCGCTGCATCTGCTCGAGCCAGGAGCTGGTCTGCAGTCTAAGGAGACATGACAGGTATCAGCACATTCTCACCTTTTAAGGACGACCACCTAGGTGTATCAAAAAGCATCACAGAGCCTGAAACACCAATGCCATACAGAACAGCATTCATCCCCAAGTAACAGTGCTTCCTCTGAAACCAGATGAATTGAGGTACTCTTGGAATACTGTTCTGCACACAAAGACGACACCACACCTGGCAAACAGCCCCTATTCTCCCATATAGCCTCAATACCATTGCTTTTACCAGCTTTTTGCATTTCCCTTCCTAGACCTTTCTTCAGTATTCTCGTAAGTAACAAGCAGTGCTAAAATAAGACTAGGTAAGACCAAATCTTTGCTATCTGGCCAGTTCCTTATTTTTTTTTGGCTGGTTTTTTTTTGGTTGGTTGGTTTTTTGTTTTGGTCGTGTTCCCCCTCCCCCCACCCCCGGGAACAAAAGCCTGCACAAAAAACCTGACCTGCTGCTCCGTCTTCCCTTTCTCCAAGAGGTTCTTTACTTCTAGCTCCTTTCCTTTCATGTCTTCTCTCAAGTCCTCATAATCTTTCAGCTTCCTGGCAATTAGCTGATCTAACTCCTCTGCTTCCTTCTTGATCTTATTTGCTTCATTCTGCAAGTGGAAATCAGAAAAACACACAGATTTGTGAACGTTAAAGAATTTCCGAACAGGTGGCAAAACACAGTAAAGTTTCTAACAGTCAAACAGGCAGAAGCTATGATGAGTCCCCATCAGTTGTAACTTTGCCTTCAAAGCAATGAATACCATGAGGGTCAGTGCATTGAAGGACATAGGTTGCAAACAGTTTCACATGCAAGAAAATCTACTGCACTACAGTGAGCACAGGAGAGGGAGCAGTTCTGCAGACTTCAGAGGGAACTGAAATTTTTGTACTCCTCTGTTCAAGCCAAGATGTTTGGCAAACAACATTTCACTCGTTTTCGTCCTTCAGAGGCTAGGCAAGGTGGGGGTTTACACATGCAGTTTTCTGCATGCAGGTCTCCTGCCTAAAAGCTGAAATGCACCGATCTGGATTATGCATAGATGGACAAAATTCCACAGACCGTTCTTCGGCAGAGGAACATTAGCAAAGCTCGTGCAAGGTACGCCAGAAACCTAACACACTGCTGTAATACTTGTCATCGTTGATTTGCAGATAATGCTGTGCACGATGCACATACCTCTAGACCTGTGGAATCCACAGTAGGCAGACTGGTAAGATTAGCGTAGATCTGCAGAGCCTTGTTTCCAGCTTCCTCTGCCTCCGCAAGCACCTTGTTGGCTTGTTTCTCTAGGTCTCGAGAAATGTTCCTTGCTTGATTATACCTAAAAAAATCCCCAAGGATCCAGTTATGCTACCATTTTTTTTGAAGAACCAGACTTAGAGAGTAGAGAGGCTAACACATTGAAAGACAACTCTCATAAAACCCAAAGCATTACAATGCTACAGAAGGCATCACTGTTTTAAGCACCTCTCTAAAGCCAGGAAATAAAAAACGTTTTCTGTTACCGACTCACTTCTGATTGAGCTCATCAATGTCATTTGCAGTTTGGTTTTCTCCAGCCAGAGTCTTCAGCAGCAGCTGATACGCTTCTGTGGAAGTATCATTTGCTGCCTTGGCTATGCGAACAATCTCATCAGCTTCTTTTTTGTGTCTGGACAAGATGACAGAAGAGAAATAATGAATTGTCAGCCAGTGGTTTCTGTCCTCAATTCCAGATTTTATTCTCTTCCAGATTTTACTCTCTCTTACTTTTCCTTCCTTCACCCAGGATTTGCATATGGGAGATGCTGAAACACTTGCAATGGGAGATGCTGTTTGAGATCATCTGTGCAACCAAGGCATCGCTCCAGCAGTGCCCACAAGATCAGCTAAAAGGCACTGCTACAGTTGTACATGCCCCCCATTCACCTCTGGTGTTTGCCCTCAGTGATACACAGGCGTGTACCTTCAGTGCTAGTCTCTTACTCAGCTAAGGGTGTTTGTTTTGTATAAAGCAAATCAAATTCTACTTCCTCCTTGTAGGGAAGAGCAGGGCCCTGATGTGGGCTGTGAGAAGCGTGTCTTGCCGCAGCTTACCTTTCAGCCAGCTTACGGGCCTCTTCTGCCAATAGAGTCATGTTGTTCGGGTCCCCGCTTGACTCCGGAGGTGTAATGGACTGGAAAAAAACGAAGGAAAAGAAAAAACTTAAAGCTCTTTTTTCATCTTTTATTCATCTACGCTTTAAATATTTACTGTCATGATCTAAATGCTTAGAGATGTGTCTAACCTACTTATGACTTCTCTGTAATTTTTCCCTTAAGCCCATGCAGTTTCCACCGCTGGTCATCCCTTTAAAACAAAGGCGCTAGTTACTCAAGGGGTTCTACACTTGGTTTCTCTGAGCAGGAGCTAAGATACAATCTATGACAGACACTGGTGATCTTCCTTTACTTATTTCCCATGATCTTGAGCAGGGAAGAAAATATTTCCCTAGCCAATTTGCTATATGAGAGAGAGAACAAGCAGAGAAATACACCAGAGGGCACAGAAAGGAAAGGCCTTCTCCTCTCCAAACTATGTGACGTCTCAGCAGCACACTCACCACGTTGTCAGCTGCCATCTTTGCCTTCTCAAGCATATCAGAAGCCAAGCTGATCAGGTCCTCTGTGTCCTCCACCCGCACCCGGGCTTGCTCCGCCAGCTTCTCCGTCTCCCACACCGTGCCCTGGATGTTCCTCAGCCTGTTCAGCTGACTCGCTAGCGTGCTGTTGATGTCTTTGAGACGGTCCATGAGGCCCTGATCTACATCTGAAATGCAAGATACAAAACAGAAGAAGCAAAAATAATTACAACAGGAAGATAAGTTGGAGCAGCAGCTTACCACTGCAGGCAGCACGTTGGTAGGTTAATCCCTTATTGAAAGGGGACGAGCAAAGTTGTTTCATAAGTCACTCAGCTTGAGATCAAAGTCACCATCAGAATGTGCATCAAATACGAGAAATGAAAAGTCATTAACTACTAATAAGACAGTCCTGCTGGGTGTTGGAACCGACTGTGATGGGGAATTTTGTGTTCAGAATCGTATTTCACCTCTACCACTGACTAAAAAAAGACAAGAGAGCTGTTTCTCAAGCAGTATGAAACATCTGCTTTGCAAATTCTCTTCACCTTAACTCCTAGAAGGTAAGCAGAGATGGAGTAATAGTGGGGTTGTACATTATCCCCCACTTCGGGCAATAGTGGTTACACCCGAGACAGACACCAGTGACAAAAGTTAGCAGGATAGAGGACCCAGCCTTGTTTGTCCAATCTGTAGGAACTATAAGCCTCGCCACCTCCCCAGTTTCTTGACCGCCACATTGTCTTACTAATGGAGCTATAAAGCATAGGCAAGTGTCTCATGACCAGGAGGAATTACTTTGAAGAGGTAAGGTACAAGCAGAGCCCACAAGCCTGCAAAATTAAGACTTTTCTTAAATATCTTGCCTTGAACTTGCCGCATGTCCTATGTATTGGATGTGAATGCTTGACGCATTTAAAAAATACAATACAACCTGTATTTGTGGTTTTATACTTCATATAAGTGCTACAGGTATGCACAGGTTTTTGCAAGGGTAGTTTTGGCATTTAACTTGCAAGAGGTGGAAAGAAAGATGAAAAATAAGACCACAAAACTTGATGCATTCTCTCATTTTCCCCAACAACACAAAAGCCAATGCATTCCCTCACTTTTCTCCAATCCCTACCCTCCTATGCCCTACACGGGACTACTATACAGGCACAGACGCTAAGAAGGCAGCATAAAGCTACCCTAGCTACAAATGAGAAGAGTTTCAGCGATCATTCCCACTGGCAGGAATCTTTCTAAAGCAAATGCAAGTGTTAGATGTGAGTCAGCTTTTTCCCAGCTTCACGCAAATGGACAGATTTTTCCAAAGTGCTCTGAAATCACTGAACCAGTTCCCAGGGGAACATCTATACCTGCAAAGAGGCTTCTTCAAGTTGCTCTTCTCCAAAACACATGTCAGCTTATACATTAAGACGACCCTAAGGACAAACCACTGTCGCACTGCTTAATGTTCTGCTCACAGACATCCTGTGGTGGAGGCGACAGTACAAGAATCTCTTTGAAGCAGAGTTTAACAGGAAAAATAGCTACAGACCACCACAACAGCACTATTCAGAACATTCTACACTTCATGGTGAAATAATTAAGCTTGTCAGCAGGATTTTGAAGCGTTCATTCTAATTGGGGAGGATACCCAATAAGTTATTTTATCTCAAGATGTCTGAGCAAATTTATAAGCATGATAAATAAACTGGGACTGAGGAATCCCTCATGGGGATTGAGTGCTCCCTCAGTAAGTTTGCAGGCGACACCAAACTGGGTGGGAGTGTTGATCTGCTCAAGGGTAGGAAGGCTCTGCAGAGGGACCTGGACAGGCTGGATTGATGGACTGAGGACAACTGTATGAGGTTTAACAAGGCCAAGTGCCGGGTCCTGCACTTGGGTCACAAGAAGTCCACGCAGCGCTACAGGCTTGGGGACGAGTGGCTGGAAAGGACCTGGGGGTGCTGGTTGACAGCCGACTGAACATGAGCCAGCAGTGTGCCCAGGTGGCCAAGAAGGCCAACGGCATCCTGGCTTGTATCAGAAATAGTGTGGCCAGCAGGACCAGGGGAGTGATTGTGCCCCTGTACTCAACACTGGTGAGGCTGCATCTCGAATCCTCTGTTCAGTTTTGGGCCTCTCACTCCAAGGAAGACATTGAGGCACTGGAGTGTGTCCACAGAAGGGCCACAGAACCGGTGAAGGGTCTGGAGAATAACAATTATGAGGAGCAGCTGAGGGAGCTGGGGTTATTTAGTCTGGAGAAAAGGAGACTGAGGGGAGACCTTATTGCTCTCTATAGCTCCCTGGAAGGAGGTTGTAGAGAGGTGGGTGCTGGTCTCTTCTTCCATGTAACTAGTGATGGGACAAGAGGAAATGTTCTCAAGTCGCGCCAGGGGAGGCTTAGATTGGATACTAGGAAAAGTTTCTTTACTGAAAGAGCGGTCAAACACTGGAAGGAGCTGCCCAGGGAGGTGGTGGAGTCACCATCCCTGGAGGTGCTCAAGAAGCGAGTGGATGTGGCACTTCAGGACACGGTGTAGTGGGTATGGTAGTGTTGGGTTCGCAGTTGGACTTGATGATCTTAGAGGTCTCTTCCAACCTTAATGATTCTGTGATTCTGTAAATATGTATAATGGAAAGTATTCTGCTTGTTTAAAAAGTAAGTAAAAATACTGCTTTGCATCTGGAGAAGAGGGTAATGCTTGCACCTGTATAGAGCTAGAGGCAGATCTTTACTTTGCACGTACAAGAGACCACTGGGAGAACAGCAGGGATAAACACACAGCTGTCGTTGTTTGGAAAGTAACATACGCCATCTCGGTGCTATCTGAAATAGCTGTCTGTACCAATGCACACCACAGGCTTGAAATAAAACACGTTGTGTGCAAAGGGAACAGGAACATCAAGTAGAGAGCCCATTTCACATTGGTCCATGTCTGATCAGATCAACTCACCTTTGCTGTCTTGTGCTTCCTGGAGCAACTCCATAACATCTCTTTCTGCCTGTTTCAACCTCTCTTCAAAGGCTTGATCGGTTATAGTTTCTTCTCCCGTTCCCAGATTTGCTATAAGATTTTCCAGCTCCCGCAACCTCTCTCGTTGCTCTGTGACCTACGTGAGATGGACAGAACACAGCTACAACACAGGGCAAAGCACCTCGAACCTCCGTGCTTTCAGCAAGCATCAGCCAGCCACAGGTGTAGAAGCCTCTGCACAAGGGGGCACATGGCGCTGCCTCTGGCAATACCAACAGTGGTGGTTGTGGCCTTACCTTATCTTTCACTAATCTGTAACAGGCTGGACACTCTTGGCAGCCTGGCCATGAGCGGTTGTAGAAATAGTTCTCTTCACACTGGTCACAGCGGCTCCCCACAAAGCCTTCCTTGCACTCGCAGCGACCATTCTCCCCGCACTGCAGGGAGAGCGAACCTTCGGGATCACAGTCACAAGCTGCGGGGAAGTTAAACCTTAGTCAGACTGGAGGAGAGGCAGAAATGCCCCAAAGCCCACAGGGCGAGAGCATACCCTCAATACCCTAAAAACTACAAGGCAACAGAGCACAAACCAATGGCTGAAGTTCCACTCCGGATCAGAGCACTTCCCCACGCAGCAGGGCACTCTGTCTAGCTGGACACAACATTCATTGCATGCATTCACAGTGCTGCTATTCCCTCTCCCACAAAGCATTATTATTTTCTACTCTGTTTCATCATAACCGACTGCAGTTAACTTTTCTGCTCTGTACAGGCAGGAATATTGAGAGGAAAGTTTGGACCATTCTGGTTTTCAACCACATTTACAAGATCTTTTCCAACCGAGCGATTCTGTGATTCTGTGTGATTCTGTGATCTGTTGCTCCTCAAGACAGAACCTGTATATTCAGGCCATTTGCAGAGCAGCTGTGCAGAGATTTAACATTAGGAAACAGAGCTGCTGCAGGACAAGATTCAGAGATGTATTTACACCAAAAAGAAGTGGAAAAGAAAGAAAAAAGGGATAAGCTACTGTACAGAGATCAAAATTTGACCATGCAGAGTATGGACATAGAAGTACCAAATTCTGCTGTGATGAGCAGCAGTGTAAGAAAATACCCTCCCAGTGATGGTCAGAAAGCACAGACAAGGCTGGCTGCGCAACATCCTTCCCATCTGCCTCAGTCCAAGCTCTCAGACTTACGTTTACACCCTTCGGAGCCAAAGCCGAAGTGGTTGACCTCGCATCTGTCGCAACGCTGGCCGGCAACGCCAGGCTGGCACTCGCACTGCCCGGTTCGGATGTCACACTGGCCGTTGGTGGAGCCCAGCGCGTGGCAGCTGCACCTGGAGGAGGCAGCCACGCGTCAGGTGGTAACACTGAGGGGAGGCACAGGAGAAGAGCCTCTCTGAAGGAGCCCTAGCGAGCACAGCTCAGTGTTTCATTTGCCAAAAGTCACTTTTCTTGCTGTGCAGATGCAGGAGGTGAGGCACCAAGCCTTTGACCTGTGCAAGGTCACGTGGTGCCTGCACTAAAAAAAAGTAACCCACGAGCCCCTGCTACCAACAATCATGCAGTCACGTGGCACTTTTCTATTTAAAACCCTGATTTAAAGCTATTTATAAAGGTATTTGTAAGTCAGGCTTTTTATACAGCCCTCAGAACTGCTCCTTGAC